GCGTTGCGGACGTACCACGGGGCCCCTGTGGCTATGCGGCAGAAGCGATTTTGAAGCACTTGAAGTTTGTTCAAAATCGCTTCGTCCGCGTGTGCGAACACTGGTGACGCGTAAGTGAGGACCGGGCGTATGCAAACTTTGTAAAGCGTTCGCTTGTTACGAAGTGACATTTTGCTGTATTTACCGAGCATCGGGTGGAGGCGGCTCATATAAAAGCGCGCGTTCGCGACTACGCGTGTGATGTGTGCACGGAAGGTGAGTTTTTTGTCTAGTGTGATCCCTAGGTATTTGACTGTGCGGTGCCACGGTATTGCTATGCCTTGCATTCGCAGAGACCGCGCACCGTGTTGTATGGTTTTGGTGCGGCGCTTGGGATCGAAGCAAATGGCCGAACTTTTGTCCGGATTTACGTCGATTCTCCAATCGCGGAACCAATTCCCAAGTGTTGTGATTGCCGGTTGGAGCTTGGCTATGATTTGATTGGTACTGGCTCCCCTAGAGTAGAGGGCCGTGTCGTCCGCGAAGAGAGCGAGCTCGACACCCTTGGTCTGAGGGATGTCATTGGTGTACGCTGTGTATAGCAGGGGGGAGAGAGCGGACCCCTGCGGTACACCGGCTCGTAGTGGGCGGGGCGTTGATAGTGAACCTTCGTATCTATAGCGGAAGGTGCGGTTTGATAGAAAAGAGGCTACTAACCTAACTAGGCGGTCAGGTAACTCTAATTGATATAATTTAAAGATTAATCCGTCGTGCCAAACCTTGTCGAAGGCTTTGGCGACGTCGAAGAAGACTGCAATAGTTTTATATTTATTAAGTTGGAAGCCGCTTAGGGCGTGCTCCACTATGCGATGGATCTGTTGGGGGCAGGAGTGTTTGGCTCGGAAGCCGAATTGGTGGTCAATGATAATAGGATCGGATGGTGATAGGAGGTGCTCTCTTAGTCTGGTCAGTATGGTTTTTTCGAAAAGTTTCGCCATTGCCTTGAGGAGGCTAATAGGGCGATGGCTACTGGGGAGGTGCGCGGGTTTCCCGGGTTTGGGGATGCCTATCACTATTGCTTCTTTCCAGGCGGCTGGGAAGTAGCACAGATCAAAACATGCGTTAAAGAGAATTGCAAGCAAGGTTAGCATTTGGATGGGAAAATGCTTGAGCGCCTTGTTAGAGATGCCGTCGGCGCCCGGGGCCTTGCGTTGCTTAAAGTTTCTAATGGTCTGTCTGAGTTCGTCTGTCGTGACGGGGTCTAGGGGGTTGTCAATGAGTGGAAGGGCGGCCCGCCGGCGGACCTCCTCCTCCACTCCGCGAATATGTTGCGGGTTAGTTTCCTGCGTACTAGGCGTGCATTGCGCCGCTATGCTGTCTGCAAAACACTCAGATTTTTCGTCGTCTTCGAAGGCGACGGTGCCGTCGGGGCGAGTGAGCGGGGGGGTGTGAGTGGTGACGTCGCTACGGAGCGCTTTCGCGATTCTATAGTACGCAAGATGGGATGGGGTAATGTCCGCCATGAGTTCCTCCCAACGGGAGTGTCTCAGAGCGGCTAATTGGGACCTAACTTGTCGCTGAAGGCGATTAGCTGTAGCCCTATACTCGGGGGTGGGGTATAATTTGGCTCTCCGGAGAGCGGCGTTTTTGGTTTGGATTAGGTTCCGGATGGCCAGCGGGAGCTTGGGCTTTGGCAGCTCAACCTCCCGCGAGTTCTCCTTCGCCTTCTCGGTCACCAGTAAAGTTAAAGACTCTATAGTTTCGTCAATCTTGTCGGTGCTGTCGAGACTGTCCGGTGAGTTAGGGAACGGGGACTCGGGGGAGTCTAAAGCGGTCTCGAGAGCGGAGCGGTATCCGTCCCAGTTGGTGAATAGCCTCTTAGGGGGCGCGGGGGCGTCTAGTGGGTCTTGGGGACCTAGAACTAGAGACACCGGTCTGTGATCTGACCCCAGGTCGTCGAGCGTTTCGATCGAGCTGAGGCGAAGCGACACGTTTTTAAGGATCGCGAAGTCCAGGACGTCGGGTCGGTTTTGTACATTGTCTGGGTAGTGGGTGGGCGCGTAGGGACATATGACATCATAGCCAAGCTCCTCGGTTATGTGTAGTAATCTGCGGCCAGAGGTGGTGGTGGTCTCGCATGTCCAGTCGGTGTGTTTGGAGTTAAAGTCACCGAACATTATGACTGATGTACCTAATGAAGTGAGTGTTTCGAAGTCTGCGCGGTGAGGGTGTGTACCTGATCTAATGTAGACTGAGGCGATGATTAAGGACTGGTGTCCTGTCATCGCCAGCCTACAGATGGTGGCTTCCATGTTTGTGAGCGCCGGAGTGGGTATAGGTGTGCAGTGTAGGTTGCGTCTATAGTAAATTGCGGTGCCGCCGCGCGCGTTGGCACCGTCGTTCCGGATTAATTTATACTTAGGGATCGACAGCCCCTTCATTTGAGTTGGTTTGAGCCAAGTCTCCTGAAGGAGCAGAAAGTCGGGTTCCCTATCTTGCAAAAATAATTTAATTTCGTTGAGGTTGGATTTTAAGCTGCGCGTATTAAATGACACAAGCGAAGCGCCTTTCGGCTTGGTACGCCCGGGGTTCAGTTGTGTGATTGTTATGTTAGTGTTTTGCGCGGTCATAATTTAAACAACAGTGGTGTTTGTTTGAGTTATCACCGCGTGTTTTGTGTATAGTGTTTTTGTTTGTGTTCGGAGTCTGGTTATTTTCCAGTGTTATAATGTAAAAATTAATCGAACGCGGCAACGAGTTCGGGGTGTTCGGCTATAGCTATAGCCTTTTCAAGTGGTGTTTTAGCTAGCCGGAGCTTCGCGGCGAGAGTGTGGATCTCGGCGATATTCACCCTCTTGAGCGAGGAGCGAATAAGCGCCATGTCCTCGGCCAGAGAAACGTCTTGGGCTGGCTTAGCTTGTGTTGTTGGTGTGGTGTGTTGTGGTGGGTGTGGTTTTGGGCGGGCCCTGGCTGGTCCCCAGGCTGTCGGGGGCGCCGGGCTGCGAGGGGCGGCCGCCTTGGGTAGCCCCGGGAAGTTTGTGGTGGTGTTAGGTGGTGGTGGGTGTATTTTTGTCGCCGTGGTTGGCTTTGTGTGAGTGTGAGTGTTGGGCCTGGGGCGTGGGGCCCGCGGGCAACCCCTGTAATTGGCCGGGTGGCCTTCTTGGCCACAGAGCACGCATGCGGGTGCCCCGGGTGCGTCACGAGTGCGGGTGCACTCCTTGGTGAGGTGGGGTACGAGGCACTTGACGCACCTCGGGGCCGCCGAGCAGTTGGCTGCTGCGTGGCCATATAATTGGCACCTGTGGCATTGCCCAGGGGTGCCTCGCCGGTGTGGGGCCTCGACTTTGATATTGTCGAGGCCACAGACTGTGATGGGACCTTTAAAAATATCCCTAGCTGCCGGGACCGAGGTCAAAATGACAAGAGCCAACGGGTATTGCTTCCCAGTCCGGCTGTGCAACTTGTGCACTGCCTCGGCTGGGAAGCCTTTATCGGTTAAGTCGTTAAGAATGAGCTCGTTGGAGAGCTCGAAGGGGACTCCTCTGAGTACCGCGCGGACTTTGCGCTCCTCGGGGAGGGCGTATGTGTGGTAAGGGATTGTGTGAGTGGTTAGTAGCCTTGTGAGGCTCCTAAATGTGTCGATTGTGGGTGTGGTGATTTTAATGGCGTGACCAGTGTTCGACGCCTGTGTGTAATTTATGTTCTGAGCTTTGCAAAGGTCCGCGACCTTTGCCCATTGCGCCTTATCGCGCAGGAAGACGGGCGGCGGCGGCTTTGCCTTGATAGGTGCGGCGGTGCACCTATTGTGTGGTTTTGTAGTGTTGTGTGATGTTGTGTGGGTTTGTGTGGTCGGTTGGGCGACCGCGAGAGGGGTGAGAGGGCTGAGAGGGACAGAGAGAGAAGGCGCCGTTGGAGACGCGGTGTCTGCGCGGCGCTTGGAGCGCCGCTTCTTCTTGCTCACCACAGTGGTGAACACGGAGTCGTCTGACGCCGACACAATGGTCGAGTCAGAGTCGCAGGTCGAGACCGGGCTCGAGGCGGGGCGCTTGCCCGCGCTCGAGGGCCCGGGGAGGCAGGGGGTGTCGGGGCGGGGGGGTTCGGGGGAGGGGCTGGCGGGCGAGTCGCGCATGGGGCGCGCTCTCGCGACGAGCTCCCTGATGGCGGCCTCATCCAGGGTGAGGCCGAGGGCGGAGAAGAGGGACAGTACTTGTTGTGTGATGTCCATTGTGATGTGTTTGTGTGTAGGTATGAGTAGGTTGTGTAGGTTGTAGTGTGTAGGTGTGCCCTGACTGTGGCGTGAAGCCACAGGTCCTAACACCCTATGCGACACCGATGGACTCCCCTGCCCGCGGCAGGGGGTCGGTTGAAGCTGTAAGAGATGTGTTCCGATATTCCTAGCGAATATGGGAACAACCGTCACCCTTGGGAAGGCCCAAGTGCAAATGGGATCGGGTCTTCCGGTTTCCGAGCTCAGGAGAGCTCGAGACGTACCGGGGCTACGCCGACCAGTTTCGTTAACACCGCTAGGTATCCACTGGTCCAATCTTGGATCTCACGTATGAGCGCAGGCGCGTCGAGTCGACTCGGAGCAGGCAGCTGTGCGGCGGGGCGCACGGAGCAGGGAGGCGGCGGTGCGACGTGGCGCACGGTCCGCGGTCGGAGCGAGAATGTGTTCACGGAAGTCAAGCCCATAGATATATATTGCTATAGAGTAAAACGGTAACGTTCAGAACATCTACTGCCGCGTTCATGGCGTAACAATTATTATTAACTTACGTTTCAATTTTGACGTAAAGTGTATGTAGCTAATGCTGTCGATTCTGGCAGAATTCTCTAAACCTCAACTTAAATTTGACAACGGTGTATCCTTGTCATTCTCTATACAGAATAAAAAGGATGGATTGATGTTAAATTTAGCTTTAAGTTTAGAGATTCAAATCGACATCAATGTCAACTTTGACATTTGTTGCACCTACAGCGTAGGTTTAGAACGCAGCTCTGTAATCTGTGTCGGGTTTTTGTGCACACCTATCCTATGTTTTGTGGTCATGACAACGGATAAACTCCAACCAACAAACAAGGAAAAACGCAATGTTAAATACCGATAAAAAGATCAGCATTTACACACACCGGACATTGGCCAAATCCCGAGGGAGCCATCACTGAAGAAATCTAATCTAACAACAGCATTTACAAATTTTAGTTACAAATATGATAGTCTTCAATCTTTGGTCTGCACTACAGTGGTATTTGAGACCTTTCATTAAATGGTTCCTGAGAAAAACAACTCGCCTCTGCGAATTGCAGAGAATTTGCTACGGCGAGAAAGCCGGGGCCCCTAGGACATGTGGAGTCGAAAAATCTTTGATGTTATCCCGCACCCCCTGCGTAAAAGAGATAGTTTCTTATTTGGACTCAGTAGTGTACGGAAAACGATTCGTTCCTGAAAATTTTAGAGAAATCCTCGAACCATCAGTGTCTGTGATAATGCGAGTAAAAAATATTAAACCCACAATACATGGGTCCTTTAGTATCACATTTAGAAACTGCCTTGAACAAATTTGGAGTTACAGAAGTTTATTAAATGAGGTTGAAGAACTTCGGCGATCTCAATTTGATAACAACAATCCAGATCACGAAGAAAAATTGCTTAGGTTGTGGACATTATTAGTTCCTGAAACCAAACTGGAGTCAAGAATCTCAAAGCAGTGGCAACATATTGGATTTCAGGTGTGTCAATCTCATAAATTTAAAGTACCTTAGCCTTAATTACCCGTTTTATGGCATTTGGACATCAATTAAAAGAATCTTTCATTTCTACATTGACTCAAGTCCAAAGCTATTGAGCTGAATGACAGTTGCACATTGGACCATGGACATAGCAATGGCAACTACTACTACTACTAGACCCCAGATTTTTTAGGAAACAGAACTATTGACATATATTGTATGTACCTAGGTAATGGAATCTTTGAACATGATAATTGTCTAATCCAAAATTTTAATAGTTCAGTGTTAAATGAAACTTAATGTAATTTTCACCTAGTCTAAACCTCCCATTCAATTGAATCTTTGTTTACTTATGATTCAATCCTACTAACATTATAATGTGAAAGTTTGTTTGTTTGGTCCTCAATTATTTAAAAAAGGCTAAAGAGATTTGGCACACACATAGTTGAGATTGAGATTTGCAAAATAGATATGATTTATCCAGCGTTGCCAGACGTCCCGATTTTGGTGAGACGTCCCAATTTGTAAATCAAAATAAAATGTCCAGGACAGGCTCAATCTCGCTTTTTAGGAATAGCTCGACCGTGCATGCAGCGTACTGAGAAAGTGCGAATCGGTAGCACAGACAAGTGTGGACAATAACTCTCAAACAAAGACCACATAAGACTATTTAACGATGGGTAGTATGAGTGAGGGTAAATCTGATTTAAAATATCATATTTTTACTAAAATACATTTTCTATGGATATTTTTACAAAGTACCTATCTATTGTCACGTAAACGTAATTTGAACTCAAATAAAAAGATAAATATTAAAAAACTGTTGAATACATTTTTTTTACTATGTCCCGCTTTCGACGAAAGAATTTTCATTCACTTTTATCACTCAAAAAGTTCTTAAATCCCGACCTGGCAAAAAAAAACTGGCAACAATGGTTTTATCCCTATTATGTTTAGAAACACAAAACAATAGATATTTAACGCATAATCCTTTATCTAGCTCGGTAGCCTGAATGTCACTGTTCTATGGTGGTATATCATAACTACCTTCAACTTAATTAACATTATTGATTATAATAAAGTAAAAAGTACCCTCATCACAATCCTACCTACAATTATAATACATGACAATCCCTAAATAATGTTGGTTTCTGAGAGATCCCCAAAAAATGCAAATTTAATAAAAAATACTCAAAAAGTCCAAATAATAATAAAAGTTAAAAAAAGACATGCTATTCCACAAACTTAAGTTAGCACCCTTCCTATTGTGTAGTACATATTTTTTACTCTTTAGGGTGATTTGCTAGTACTTATAGGATGTTTTTATTCTATTACTATTATGCACTAGAATACTAAAAAACTTTCATTTTTCTTTTTCCAGGGTGATGATCCAAAAAGTGACTTTCGTGGAATGGGTGTTCTTGGACTGGAGAACCTTCTATATTTTGCATCTGAATATCCACAAGCATCAAGTCATGTTTTGAGCCATTCTCTCCACCCTAAATATGGTTACACTTTTGCTATTGTAGGCATAAATCTAACCTCAATGGCATACTATTTGTTACAAGACGGCTCAGCTAAAACCTACATGTTTAATGCGAAAAGACATTTGCCGAATATAAAGTTGTTTCATAGGTTTTACTGCTACCTCTTTTATGAGTTTGATAAAATGTGGATAGAGGCAAAACCTGAGAACATCATGGAGTTCTCCATTATTTTTAAGAAATTTGAAAATGCTATTAGGACTGAGCTAGCAGATCCAGCCACAGTATTTAGAATAAATATTGAAATTGATACAATTTAGTGAGTCATTTGATTATGTGTAAACTTTTAGTTAGTGAAAACAGGCACAAAAGTAAGCTTATCTATAACAAGTTTATATCTGGTAATTGAATCCTGTACTAAAATAGTAATGAATGCTTATATAATAAAGAACGAATATCTTAATTTTTTACTAATCACTTAGCACATTGTAATGCTGATACACAATTTTACATTATTTTAATTTGATAATGAGTAAGACAGCTTGTATCAAACTCGAATAGTTATATAGATGTTGAAAACCTCAATAACAAAATTTATTTCTTAGTGTTAAAATAAATTAAAAACCAATAGGAGCGACTTGGCACATTTGAATTCATTACTGTCATTTTATTACGCCAGATGGCGTAATGTCGCCATGCCTATTGAAAATTCTTTTTCTTTAAGCCCGTCACAGACGTAGCTATAATATATATTAATATATCGAAATATATATTATATTATAGCAAACTACCACAGATGGGAGCTATACTATAATATATATTTTGCCCTCACTCAGTCTGCGGTCGTTTTTGCAAGCGCACGGTTTTAAAGCTTATTTTCTAGCACAGGGTGTTTTAATTTTGAAATAACGTTATAATCAATCTTACCGAAATGAATTCGACAAGAGCACTACTTTTAGATTTAATTGAAAGTTCCTCAGAGGATGATTCCGATGCTGAATTTGATATGCATGTTGCCTTGTCAGGAACGAAAAATAGAACCATCTGGGTAGAGTCGCATATAAAACAAAAGAAAACTTGTGGCGAATTTAATATGTATCGTGATTTGTCATCCAATAAATTTGCACAGTATTTTAGGAGAGGAAGGGTGGGGGAGAAATGCTCGTGCGCACTTGAGCTGGAGATCGGGCAGGCGTTAAGTGAAAAGTTGAACATCCCGTATTAAAAATATATACTAATATACTTAAATATATCCCGTCACAGACGTAGGTAGCTTTAATATATCGAGATAATATATTAAAAAAACTACCACATACGGGAGCTGTACTATAATATGTCATGCTGGACCAGAGACTCTCGTGGTACTCCTACCTTGACCTGGTTGCGGAAAGACTACGAAAACTCATGTGGATCTTTAAAACTCTACGACATATAGCCACAAAAGACATTTTAAATCAAATATACGTTGCAGTTGCCCAATCGGTTCAGATTTACTGCATAAGAGTGTGGGGAGGTGCACTTAAGTCTAAATTTCTAGAGGTTGAACGAGCTCAAAGAGCCCTCATAAAACTTATGTATTTTAAGAAAAGAGATTTTTCAACAAATTTACTTTATTCTCTATTGGGCCTACTTACTGTAAGAAAATTGTATATACTTCATTCTATTTTAGGAAAGCACACATCAATTACGTATGATCCAAATATTATTAAAAAAAAGAAGAAACGACAGAGTAGCTAAAATCAGACGTATAAATACAAACTTTGCTCGAAACCAAAATCCACATCTTTCATCTATAATCGCATTAACAAGATTCTTAGTATCTACCCGCTAACCTACCGTGAATGCAAAAACAAGCTGACAGTATGCCGTATGGCTAAAGACTTTGAACTTTGACAAAACAGAGAGTTTATTAATAATTTACCACATAATATCCGATTTTTATAAAGGTATATAAATCTATGTATAATAAAAAACAATTTTATTTTATAAGTATTAAGAAACTTACAAAATACAGTATATATATATGCCTTATATGCACAAACACACACACATGCACAAACACTCCGCTTAATTAGTTTAAATTGTATTTTCATGTAATTAAGATGTGCTTTGATTAGCGTGAGTTGCACAACTTGTTATAACGTAAATTTCCATGTCAGGTCATGGTAAATTCTTAGTAAAATTTTACTTTAACTAGCTCTGTGGTGTAACTCCCACTTTATTGTATTTAATTCCTTGTTTTAATCATAATATAGTTAATGACCTTACCATAATGTAACGTATGCTATGGAAGAGTGGTTCTTTTTGGTACAGGTGTCTTTGCACTTAAAAAAAAAGAGCCTACCTTTATTTATGTAACCAAATGTATGGTAAAGTAATAAATCATTTTTATTTTTTTTATTATAATATATGTTTTGGCAGGCGTTCGGTGAAAAATGGAACATTCCGTATCATAAAAATATATCAAAATATATATTCCACAGTCCACAGATGAGTTAGGTACTTTTCAATCAATATCACCTTTTTATAAGATTATAATATGTTGACTCTCTTTGAAAGCTTGCAACCCTGACATTTAAAGCTGAGGTTTAAAGTAATTGAATGAGTAAAAAAAATACGTTTGCCTCCACAGACTTCAGTTTTTACTGTCGAGTGCCTCGGTATCTACAAAGCAGTAGAATATAAAAGACTGGCTATACTAAAAAAACTGTTACTTCTACTGACTATAAGCACATTATATGCGCTAGCAAAATTCCCATTCAGATCAAAAATGATCCATTAATCTTAAAGACAAGAGAGTTGCTTTATTTAACCTTATTATAAGGATATTCAATTGCTTTTGTCTGGGAACCTAGCCATTATGGCATAATTGTTAACGAATATGCCGATTACCTAGCTCGAGAGGGAGTAAAGTGTGGTGATCTTAATTATTAAAAGAACTATTCTCATGATTAATCATGAGAATAGTTCTTTTAATAATTGTAATGTTGATTGTGACATATTAATTTAAATTAATATGTCACAATCAACATTACAAGATTTATGGGTGGAGGGTTATAAATCAAAAGCTAAGTACTACTCATTACAACCAACTTTATTTAGAAAACCTTGGTTTTGAAAATTAAGGTTTAGTAAATCAGTTACTACAATTTTAATTCGAATGCGCCTTGCACATGTTCGTGACCGTTTCGCAAAATACGGTATAAAGATACGTCCACATGTGAATGTGGCGAGGTTAATGCTGGCATTAACCATATCTTCTTTACCCAAATATGACAGAACTGCCTTTTTAGATTCATTGAAGACAGCTAATATTTATTTCCTACGTCCATGTCTTTCCTTCTATATACTACTAGCTGTGCCCAGCGGTGTTACCCGCGGTTGATTAGGCATATTTTCCCGAAGTAAAAAGAAGACTATGTGTTAATCCAGGGCGCCAGCTATCTCTCCTTCTGTGAGAAAGTCATCCATAGGAGGCGGCGGTACGAGCGCCTCTTTATATCCAACTATAATGCGATTCAACTAAGGACCGACTGGGCGCCATATTGTGATGTCATAGCTGTCAATTCAAACCGAATAGGTAGAGTGAGCATAAAAAAGTTTCTATTTAATTAAACTTATTTACTAAGATTAAGTGAGAAAAAGCATCAGTTTTTTTTAATAACATTTATTTACTAAGATTTAGAAAAAAATACCACCGTTTTTTAATAATATTTATTTATTAAGACTGTGAGAAAAAACATTAATCAGAATCTAGGTCTTCTATTCCGCTCATCTCTGCATTACCGCCGTAATAGTTATGAATAATCATGCACTATTACTAGGTCACATACGAACATGCATCCTTTATGTAAACGAAAGTTTGAAATCGAGTTTCTGAGCGCAACTTAAAGTGACATTTTGTTGAAGATTTAGGATATCAACCATTCACGGCCAAAGCTCAATAAGTGAAGAAACATACCAACCGATATTAATTATCAATATTTGATATTGTTTGTTTACAAATGTTTGGTTTTTATTCTTGAATTAGCGGATTGCTAAAAAAGGGTTCCAACATTTTTTTGCAAGTCGTACTTTTTACAGATACAGGTCATTGGCTTTCCTATTCTTATTTGAATCGCATTATACCAACTATTCATATAGCCGCTCCTTTAATCGATTTGCTACCCAATTACATCAAATGAAGCTTGCACATGGCAAATGGCAACATTAGCCGTCATGCCATGATAAAGAAGAAGAAGAATGTAAATAAATAACTTTTTAATGACAATTTACATGTACATCTGCATTATGAATCTAACCAATTCAGAAAAAGTCCTGGTAAAGAATAATTTTATGGAAAAACTGTCGATCTCTCGTACAGTCCCCGTAGCATGAGCACCACATTTCTGTCAAATAGCCTAATGAAAATATTTGTTCCTACACATTTTATGTCATGTATGACTGATGTTATTTAATAATTAAATTATTTATAGTTTTATAAGACTCGTTTTTTTATTATTTTTAAACGAAACCTAAAGAAAGTTTATATAGAACTCCACTCAGACAGGTTGGGGCTAGTTCGGGCACCTTTCGCAATCTGGGAGGCCGCACTGATGGCTGTGTTGAATTTTCTCTAGTACTCCTTAGGCTGCAGTAGGGTTTGAATATCGTAATCTCAAATATCGAAAATATCGCAGAAAAATTGCTACATTTCGATTTTAAATTTATGACAATTTAATGAAAATAAAAATATGTAGATATTAACAATAAAGCATTTCAATAACTTTATATTTTTTTAATTCAAATGAGCGCAATTCATAAATCTGTTTTTACTTTCGCTAATAGCTTTACAGTAAATAGTTAAACAGATAAATAATAGAATCAGTTATTTTTTTTAACTGGCAAGGCCCGTTTAGTAAATTGTAAAGGGACTCGCAAACCAGGGCTTGTTTACCGGTTTATTTTCAAACCTAAATCAGTATCAAGTACATTAGGAGCGTTTTATTTAGATTTGGCTCTACCTTATAAAACCGGTTTTCCTAAAAAGCATAATCAAATAGGTTTTGAATCAATTTAGCGGTCATTAAATGGTTTCATTTCGCTCTTACTGACGGCATCGCCTTCGCCGTTTCAATTCAAATTTATAATGATTTTATGTCAGTTTCTTCCCAACTACAGAGCGAATGAGTGAAGTAGGGTGTCAGTACACAACCACAAAATGAATAACTTGACTCACTAGACGCTAGCAAACGTGTCAATAAATGCATCAATCTCTGAGCATCAACAAGTTGTGACTTGATTAGTTTAAACAAAACAAACTTTGAGCGATGCCGATGCGTGCATATTGTGTCGCTCTGGATTAAAACGGTTTATTATGGTTTTAGGTACCGCTTTCATTTCGGACGCACTCCGAACGAAACCTGTACTAAAAACCGGTATTAACCTTTATTTACCGGTATTTTCGAAACCGGTTACAAGCCCTGTCGCAAACAGCTCGATATCCTCTTATTGATTTAAAAATACTACTAATTCAACACCTCTCACCGTGTGCTTTATTGACTATAGCAAATCAGCAAAGCTTTCGGCTGTGTAATTTAGACGGCCCTGTGGAAGATATTGGATGAACTTAGAGTGCTTGAATATCTAGTTGCTTTGGTTCAATTGCTGTACTGGTACATAGAATAACCAGAATAACGAGGGTAAGGGTTGAAAGAACAGGCTAATAAAACTGAGGCTTCTAGGTTTGGGAATAGCGTGAGGCTTGCATCCTGGCCCCATTTGACGACCTCCGTGGCCGAGCCGGGCAGTGGCGGATTAAACATTGAGAGCGCCGTAGGCAAGCATCTTATCGGCGCCCGCGCCCCTATAAATAGTCCAGCCATAAGTTCTGTTATTTGAAATGGCCACCTTTGGCTTTTTTTTTATAGATAGGTTCGACAAATGACACCCCACCTGATGTTATGTGAAGGTGAAGTCCAGACGTGAAGATAGCTGATACAGCAGTTTTACCTGCCACACCAGCCATCCTCACCCTGCCGGCCTGCATGTTGCTTCTTCACGCCTCTTTTAAAGGATCCCAGGTTGTAAGAGGGAGGAAACACGTGAGCGGGCAGAGCATTCCATTTACGGATAGTGCGACAAAGAAATGAGTCACCAAATTTCTTTGTATGCGTTGGAATTGTGGCCACAGTTAGACGGTAACAACGTAGGCCAGCGCGCGTGGTCCTCTGAAGGAAAGGAGAAGGTGGGATAAGAGAGAATAACTCCTCAGAACACTCACCGTGGTACCGACGATAGAACGCGCTTAGTGATGCCACGTCACGGCGTAATTGAAGAGGCTCAAGGTGTTTAGTCACCTCCTCATCGCCTATGATGCGGATCGCGCGCCGCTGTAACCTATCCAAAGCATCGAGCAAGTACTTGGCGGAGCCATCCCAGAGGTGCGAGCAATATTCCACGCAGGACCGCACTTGCGTTTTGTACAACAAGCACAGTTGATCGGGCGTAAAAAACGCCGCACCTTGTTCAGGACTCCGAGTTTGTGTGAAACTGTTTTGATCACGGTTTCGATGTAGTTCTTTGGATTCAGGTCTGAGCGAACTTCCATACCGAGCATGGAAATATTGCTCTGTAGCGGTAGTGTTGTGCCCTGAAGAGAGGGAAGGGGAAGGAATGGCGATGTTTTTGCCGTGAAAGCGCAAGCCTGAGTTTTCTTGGCATTGAACTCAACCAAGTTCCTGGTACCCCATTCGGAAATGTGATTGATATGCAGCAGAAAGAGAGTGGGGGATAGGACGGAGCCCTGGGGAACGCCGGCATTCACTGACATGAACCGCGAACTGCTACCATCCGTAAGGACACGACTTCTACACTCATTCAGGAAGTCAGCTACCCAAGAACAGAGCTGGGCTGGCAGGCCGTATGCGGGAAGCTTGGAAAGAAGGCTTTTGTGCCATACCCTGTCGAACGCCTTGGCAATGTCAAGGCTGATAGCCAACGACTCGCCACGCTTGTCGATAGCCTCACCCCAGATATGAGTTAAGTACGCTAGAAGATCACCCGTCGATCGTTTCGGTCTAAAACCATATTGACGATCATTAATCAGGGAGTGATCCTCTAGGTAGCGGGTCAGATGGTTATTAAGGACCTTTTCTAGAACTTTACATAAAACTGAGGTGACTGCTATTGGCCGGTAGTTTGCCGGGTCTAAGCGATCCCCTTTTTTGGGCACCGGTTGCGCATTAGCATCTCTCCAAGTCTCCGGCACACGCCCCAAAGAATACGAGTATTGGTACAAGCGCGTGAGCACGGGAGACAACTCCGCTGCACATTTTTTAAGTACTACTGCTAGGATGCCATCAGGTCCACTAGCTTTCCGGACGTCGAGTGATTGCAATTCGGCAAGAACCTCGCGCTGCCTGATTTTAATATCAGGCATCGTTGTGTCACAGTGAGGTAATGATGGTGGCAGTGCATTGCAATCATCGATTCGGGA